ATTATCCTGACCGACAAAACCAACAATATTGCTATCATGGAAAGAGAACTAGTGGAGCAAAAGCTAGCTGACCACCTGCGAGAACCTGCTTACAAACTATTAGAAGAAGATCCCACTAATAAGTACGAAACAGCAGCAAACAACCTGTTTACCGACATATGCATAGATCTTAGAATAGATGTCACGAAACCCCCCATCAAACACGTTCTAAGCAACTACTCGTCGGCCCCAGAACTCTACCCTATGGCTAAGGATCACAAGCCCAGCTTTCCCAACACCAAAGTTCGAGTAGTACAACCTATCAACAACAGTGCTATAGAAAAACTCGACATGGTAGTGAGCAAAGTACTGATACAAATTAATCAGCTCCTCCCAAACCGAGTCAAAAGTACAAAAGATTTTCTCACTAAGCTCCGCAACACTTATCCTGACAACATCACCGTAACCAGTAGTGTCAGTTTCCAAGCATCCCTTGATGTGGAGAACATGTACCCGACTCTACCCACTGACGAGAGAGCTTTACAAGTCATACTATCGTACATTGAAGATTACAAAGAAAATATTAACCTGTACGGATTTTCGCCCTCACATATTGTCTCCATGCTTGAATTTGTCCTACACCACACTTACATCAAAGCAGGCGACAAATACTACCTACAAAAACAGGGTATCGGCACTGGGTCCCATAGTTCAGGCGCATACGCAGAAATCATCGTCGACTACACCTACAATATAGCAGCAGAAAAGAGTACCCACAAGCCGGAGTGCCTTTCCACGTACGTTGACGACGCCTGGTTACTCTGGAAGTCAAGCGCCGAAAACTTCGAGGAATTCAAAGCCAATCTGAACTCTGTTTGGGCCTATGTAAACTTCACCAGCGAACTTCAAGAAGATAGAAAGCTCATTTTCCTTGATCTCACCATTGAGCTAAAAGAGAACAATGAAATATCCTTCACTCACTACCAAAAACCTACGGCTTCTGGAAGATATTTGCATTACGACTCACACTGTAGTCTAGTCACCAAAACAAACATCATCAGGTCGGAGACTAGGCGGATAGTTCACAACTGCAAATACAAGGATGACAGCTGGGCATACCTCGAAAAACTGAAAACTCACCTGATCGTAAACTCCGGATATCCCAAAGAAGTCGTGACAAAACACATGTTACAAGCTCTAGAGAGACTAGAAGTACTAACAAGCTCGACCCCACGAGAACCCCGGCCAGAACCCGACCTTATCCTGAAGATACCGTACATTAACGAGAGCTTTACCAGGAGAGTCAACTCATCGATCAAGCAACTGGGAATAAACGCCAGAGTAGTGACACAGGCGGGGAAAGCTGTCAGGAGCATCATCAGCACACCATCTAAAGACGAGATATGTGAGTGCGAACTCTGCAAGGCAGATCTCAACTGTACCACCCGACACTACGTGTACAAAGCAAAATGTAAGAAATGCGGAGATCTGTACATAGGAGCTTCAAGACGACCTATTAGAGGTCGAATCTACGAACACGAGTCTAGCTTCCGACTCAACAACAGCAGGACCACACTAGGATACCACGCTGCTGAACACCGCAGAGCAGACGACCCACACTACACTCCCATATCGGGAAAAAGAGACTTAGCAAAATTCTTCGAAAACTTCGAATTTAGCATATCAGAACAATGTAAGGATACCCTAGATACCTTTATAAGAGAAGGCTTAGCAATAGAACGCACTAAACCGAAAATCAATAACATGTGTGGAAACGGTTTTACAGACTAATTTATAGTACACTTTTACTACGCTGATCTGAGGGTTGTAAACTTTTCTGTTGTGATTTTTCTTATTGGTAACCCGATTTTTCTCGCATGTATGTGTACACTCTTTTCTATAAATTTTGCTGAAATTTTCTTCCTAATGGTAACCCTGATCTTTGTCGCATGTATGTTTACTTTCCTAACCCAATTACCACACTCTCTGGTTCAGAGATCAAACCTCCCCTTTTCAGTGTAACCTTGATAAAGTCCAATGCGTGACGAAAATTTGGTTTTACAGTTCACTTAGTTCCTTGTTTCACTTTGTTCGCAGTTTTATTTCGGGAGACGTGAAGTCTAAAATGAAAGCTAAATTCGTTATTAAATGTAAACAAAATTTTGTAATGACTTATAAAGCAATGAAAGGCATTAGTTTGGTCAAATCAAACAGAACGTCATATGCTATCAGACTTTCAACTGACTAAGGTAGGGTTAAAACAGTTTCGACGCTAGGAACGATCCCCTTTTACATAGTTCCACTAAAAATAATAATTTAAGGTTAAATATGTATAGTGATAGGTAAATAAAGTATTATGCAATCAAAATTGTCAATGATTCGTTAATGAATTCTAATTTAATTAATTTAATTGGGAGATTGAGAGGAGACAATTCCATTTATCGCTAAATTCTAAGTTTACAACAGCTTTACAATAACTAATACTGTAATAATGACATTGCATGAACTATTTTTAATACAAAATATGCGCGACCGACACTTAACCTATGAATTAACAATGTTTCATAATGCTACAATGGAATTCTTTAAAAAGTTTCTGTGTAAATTTCAACAGACTGTAGAAAAATATCATAATGATAAGCCAGTGATATAATATAGACTCCTACCTCTCCCAATGATAACTAGTTCATATACTATAGTATTCCCCTCAACAAACTAATTTTTAATGACGATATAAAATTAACAGTTGTTATGAGTAGAGTTTTATGATCAGGGGATTTTAATAACACTTTCGATCCTATTTACAACTTAAGCTTTTATTGAGCAACCAAAGTCATATTTGGTAGAAATTTACCTGGTACACAAGTTGGAGATACGGACAGCTGGCTGTTGGTGCAGGTGATTTTTGACGATCCAGAGATCACGAATCTGTTGTCGCATGTTGTCTCGTATATGGCTCCCGAACTAATTGTCGAATCAGGGGTTACCGTGCCTTTTTCAATGACAGGTTTGATACATGATGATATTTCTGAAAAGAAAATATCCTATCAATACTGTGTAGTGAATTAGGCATGATTCATACATTAATCCTAACCCTAATTATAATTTTAAGATTGAGAAGAATGAAAGCTTTGTATTCAATTATCGCTAAATTGACTGTAGAAAAATAGTAATAATAAGAAGACAGTGATATTATATAATAGACTCCTACCTCTCCCAATGATAACGAGTTCATTAACGTAAACATACGAATTAATACCACTCCCATCAAATTTAACAGTATCTCCTATTATGCAATCAGAAGGAGCATTGTCTGGGACTGTTCCATCCTCAGAGTACACTGACATGGACCACCAGGAGCAGAAATTAGAACTACCACTGCAGGTACACGCGTCCCTCGAGCATGTGTGTGTGTTAAAAGCACTGAAAAACCAATGACGTACTACCTCTACACAATACTGCTTATCTAACTTAGCCTTAAACCAGGAGTCATATCCAGATGAATAAGCTGCAGTACCTGCATCCCTGTCTATAGCATTGTTTACCACATAACTTGAGGTATACTCTTTAGTCATAGACACGGAAACAGGTTTTATCTCACCATCTACCTCTCCTATAATTTCACCTGAAATAATGACAACGATAAATTGTTGTGTTTCACTACTTAGCACCCGAAGTTTAATTAGAGACGTATAAGACTCTAACTTTATTTGTGTGTACGTATATAATTATGTATTCTTTGTTAATTCTGATAAGGTCGTGCTATAAAATAAATATTACAATTTTGTACAAGTTAACCTTGGATGGGTAACCACAATAGAGTCGTGAAGAGGATTATCTTTATCTTCGTGATCATCTGGTCGCTATATTAATACATGAGCATATTCATAATATAGAAAATATTTAAATCAGTCAACTGTTTTAACGTTAAAACAATAATCAAGTATCTGGCTAAAATTCCTCACAGATTATAATTGAAGAATGAGGGTACCGAGTGAAAGCCAGGACAGAACTGTTTACCATCGTAAGGTATAGAATTAGATTTATCTAGCATATTCCCGGACTCATTTATTATAACGGATTATAGATGCTTCTCACTCCTATTCTAGTCAAGATTTTGTCCTAACGGGCGTAAGATTCCTGATCACTTAAATTTAAAACTAGTTTACTCTCGTAAGGTAGGGATTTAACGTGTCCGCCCTTAACTGCCCGTCCGAGAGATACTGCCACAAAAGTGGGGGATAAGGCTATTATCAAGTCATATTCTGTGCTGACTGAGCACATCTATATACTTTTAGCGACTACAAGACGGATCAGTGTAAAAACGTAGATTAAGATAAAACTGAAAGTAAACATTGTTATGAAAATAATGCCTTCCTCTGCATCTCGTTGCTATTTATAAGCAAGGTAGACAGGTTAGCATCAGGTGACTGTATTCCGAGTTTCGTATTGACGTGATGCAGCTACGGGCACGTATCTACTCACAGACATGTTTCAAACCACCAGGCAATATTGTCTCCTTATTTGGATGTAAACAAACCGATACAATCGAGCATTCCGTCTCGAGCATTCCGTCTCTGCACGTTTATCACCAAGATATTGTACGGAATATTGTAAGTTATTATTTCTATAGGTATTACACCAATGTAGAAGAATGACTGGAATGATCTTACTGCTACCTTCAATACCATATAATTATTATCTTTAAGAAGGGTTTCACAGTAATAATACGATAAATTAGTAAATTTTAACTAACATTTTTAATTTGGATCAGGACTGCTAATTAAAGAGAGAGATTCATAGAGCAAGAGAAATTTGATTAGGTAATTTTCAGCAAACAGAAAAGGAGCTTCTAATTTAGTGATATAATAGCCTATCGCCACTAATTTGCAACAAAGTGCACGGAAACTTTCAAAAGGACTGATAAAACCTGATTCAAAACTGTGTTCGACAACTCAAAAAACAATTTAACAAATTCAAATCTACGGTAATAATTTCACTAATCTTCTATGTGTAGGATGACATGAGTGTTACATGGCTGACATCACTGTTATTTGGTAAGCAGTTTTTGTAAAATTAACTTTATTTACTATTGAGCATGTCTTGGCTTTTACAAATTTGGATTTGTCTAATTTCTGTGAATAATTTTCTGAATTTTCAGTATATAATATCCAGGTTCTTCACGGATTTGTTTCAGTGATCATACCATGTTTGGTTGATGGTAGCAGCATCACTTGCACCAAGAGTGACACTGTTGATGGTGTGCCAACTGGCATTAATGTCACAGACGCAGTGGTAGTCCGCAAACTCTCATTTGAGGTAAGATTTATTGTTGTTAATAACAGTTCATTGTGCAGTGTCTTAACTGCAAGTGTACCTATTGAGATCCTAGGCATTTGGCTACTTTGCTAAAAACTGATTGAAAAATCTCAGAAATTTTGAACAGACTGACAAAATATTGTATAAATGAAAGTATTGTAATCTGTATCATCAATATTACAGGCTTGCGTTGATCGTTGCTGTCAAAAGGAGGGTTGCGAGGTAGCGGGACTACATAAGAATGTCTGTGTGTTAGCCAGTTGTACTACGCATCCATGCAAGAGGGATTTTAAAGCTGACCCCGAAGATAATAAGGCTAATTTCACGTTTCTCACCAAACATGGTAGGTTATTCATTTCTTGGAAACAGAATATTGCTCATTGGAAATTGTGCTAAAAATTGGTTTTGAACATTCTGAAACTTCAATCCTGGTGTCTTTTTATGAAAATTTAAAGTATTCAACCTATACTTTAGGCTGCTGTTTGGTTAAATATTGTCACTTTAAACCTAAAAATTGTAAAATAGGAATGATATCAAAGAATTGATTATTTCCAAAATTCACCTTATTTCAATTCAGTCCAAGAAGACAAGCCGAATTCAGCTGCAGCTGACACTGAAAAGAAGGATTCAGCAGATCCTAAAAAAGATGCAGAGGATACCAAAACACCAGACACTGAAAGTAGCACTAAAGTTGATTCAGAAGATTCTGACAATACAACAGCAGATTCAGTTGACACTAGTGCAGTTACAGTGGATTCGGATAATAAAGAGGGGGAGCAAGCTAAATCAGATGAAACGATACTAGTTCAGAAAGCAAGCAGTGAAACTTCTGAAAGGAACGCAGTCAAGGAGAAGAGTGATACTGCAGAATCAGGAGAAACAAAAGACAAACAAACTACTGCAGAATCAGGAGAAACAAAAGACAAACAAACTACTGCAGAATCAGGAGAAACAAAAGACAAACAAACTACTGCAGAATCAGGAGAAACAAAAGACAAAGAAACTACTGCAGAATCAGGAGAAACAAAAGACAAACAAACTACTGCAGCACCTGATTCTAAAAGCAAAACCACCCCTAGTAAGCAGAAAACAAAAGCATCAGACACTAAAACTGTTGCACCCAAAGAAGAAGCCAAAGTAGAAGCTATAGAAGAAGCCAAAGATGATGCTAAAGATGATGCTAAAGATGACTCCAAAGATGACTCCAAAGATGACTCCAAAGATGACTCTAAAGATGACTCCAAAGATGACTCCAAAGATGACTCCAAAGATGAATCCAAAGAAGAATCCAAAGATGAATCCAAAGAAGATGCCAACAAACCAAACTGTGACCCTGATTGCAATGTAGCATCAGAGAAATGTGTTAAAGATAACAACGTTTGGAAGTGTGATTGCAAAGAAGGTACGTTCAATTTTCTAAACTTATATTTAGCAGAAGATTACAATTTAGCTTGCAATTCTTTCTTATTCGTCATTATGATTATCTTGAGCGAAATTTACTTGTATTTGCTATACAATAAGCTTCACTAACTTTTGTGATGGGTTAATGATAACAGTTGTTACATACTTGACTATAAAATAAAATTTCGCCTTTAATTATTATTTAAATTATTTAGATTGTTTCTTGACACAGGTTTTATAAAGACTAAGGATGATGGATGTGTTGCCAAGGTGATGTGTGAAGCTTCTACTAGTTGCCCTGGTGACCACACAGCGTGTACTGTTGTCGACAATAAAATAGCCTGCGCCTGTCAAAACGGGTAATATGTTAATTCTTAATTCTGCCCAGTCTGACTAAATGATTATGTTAATGTTATTCTTAATTCTGCTTTGTCTTCTCAATACCCAGAATTGAATTGAAGTGTTAGTTTCGGGGGAGTAACACTCAAGGGTTCCAATCCCACATTTCACAATTTGCTATTGTTCAGACTGAATATCTAATTAAACTCATCATTCCAATTAGCACACCTAGACCAATAGTCAACATACCACAAACCATTGTCTACAAACAGAATGTATATCATATTCTCTCTTACCCTAACAATACTAACACTATGTCTAACCAGGTATAAGAAGGAGAAGGGAGTCTGTAAGGAGGTGACCTGTAAAGGTGTATCCTGTCCGAATCACGCCACGTGCGCCGTGTCGGAGAACACCGCGCACTGTTTCTGTGATAAGGACTATGTGGCACAGGGTATATTCTGCAGGACCGGTAAGTGCTACATTTGTTATTAAAAAAAATGTTATAATCTCACAATCGTATATTAAAATGAGGTCAGGTTTAGTTCAATGAGTTGGGCGATAAATTGAGTTGGCCTTTATATTATTAGCCTTTATATTATTATAAACTTTATTATTATATTATTATAAACTTACTTCCGTAGTTTCGTTTTGTTCTAGAAGCATCACAGTAAACCCCCGATTTACTGTGGACTTTGGGGAAAGGAAAAATATGATAAGGTCTGAAATCCATAGAATTAAAAGTGATATTTTTTATAGTCTTATGATCAAATACTTAGCAATTCTAAAGTAACAACTTTTGGTGACATCTAGATTCTAGAATACATCCAATTATATCAGCTGAGAATAATTGGCATGATATGTGAGATTGTTGACTTTATCTGCTTCCCTTACCACCTCGTAAGTCGTAAGCAGATGCTCGGTCTGATAAAACATTGTAGTGAGTAGATAATAGTGAAGGAATGGGGCCACGATCAGTCGTTGGCATGCCAACCACCTCGTCTGCTGATACTAATAACTGTTCAGTAGGATCTAGAAAAGTTAGATCAGGAGGAAAAGAATTCGATAATATAGAAATCAGAGTGTCTGGATACTGTTTTAAAGGACAGGACATAGGCGGACATAGACGGACGTGACACCCCCCCCCCCCCAATAACTGTTCAGTAGGATCTAGAAAAGTTAGATCAGGAGGAAAAGAATTCCTGTTTTATATCTATATTTCTTACTTATTATATTTATCATTATTACTTTTATGACTATCAGACCTAGACAGTGTACAGATAATATGTCCTCAGGATGACCCTGATGATGAAGATTTTCCAGGTTCTGAATAATATGTTGATAAAACGAGCTAATTTCAGACGTAAAAACATTGTCTAACAAATTTTCGGGAAAAAATCAAAACTGTCGGAAAAAAAGTTAAATTATTCGAAAAAAGTTGTTTAGTGAATTAGAAGAAAAATTCGGGGAAAGGATTTACCCGTGCGGTAAATCGGGGTTTGCGGTAATTCGGGGCGTAGTTAATCAGGGTATTACTGTATATTAATCTACTGTACTATCTGTATCCTTTTACCTACTTTATATTGCAGTTGTTGACTGCACTACGGAGCCTAAAAACGCGGGGTGTCCAACCAACGAACAGTGTAAACAGGTAATTTATATTTTATTCTCACATCACCATTTTATCAAATCGGTTTACAGTGCAGTTTGCTGTATATTTTTAAAGCTGTATAATATTTTAAAAGTTGATCTCTAGTAGAACCGCTGACCCAGGTGAGCAGCAAGAAACAGTGTTTCTGCATTCCCGGCAAGCTGCGCGTTAAACCAACCGGTGACTGCACAGGGAACGCGAGCGCAATAGTGCTGACCAGCGAGGACGTGACAGTGCAACTTCCTGCACAGTCCGCAACAATGTCCGTGTCTGTGGCTCCCGCGCACTCTAAGAATGATAACTACTACGCCTACAAGTGGGAGCAGCAGAAGAACCCGGCCGGGGTGAGTTTGATTTTAGTAAACTGAGGGTACTGGAACTTGGTTAAGTGAGCTTGATTTTAGGTGGCTAGTAAACTGAGGGTACTGGAACTTGGTTAAGTGAGCTTGATTTTAGGTGGCTAGTAAACTGAGGGTACTGGAACTTGGTTAAGTGAGCTTGATTTTAGGTGGCTAGTAAACTGAGGGTACTGGAACTTGGTTAAGTGAGCTTGATTTTAGGTGGCTAGTAAACTGAGGGTACTGGAACTTGGTTAAGTGAGCTTGATTTTAGGTGGCTAGTAAACTGAGGGTACTGGAACTTGGTTAAGTGAGCTTGATTTTAGGTGGCTAGTAAACTGAGGGTACTGGAACTTGGTTAAGTGAGCTTGATTTTAGGTGGCTAGTAAACTGAGGGTACTGGAACTTGGTTAAGTGAGCTTGATTTTAGGTGGCTAGTAAACTGAGGGTACTGGAACTTGGCCGGGGTGAGTTTGATTTTAGGTGGCTAGTAAACTGAGGGTACTGGAACTTGGCCGGGGTGAGTTTGATTTTAGTTGGCTAGTAAACTGAGGGTACTGGAACTTGGCCGGGGTGAGTTTGATTTTAGGTGGCTAGTAAACTGAGGGTACTGAAACTTGGCCGGGGTGAGTTTGATTTTAGTAGGCTAGTAAACTGAGGGTACTGGAACTTGGCCGGGGTGAGTTTGATTTTAGTAGGCTAGTAAACTGAGGGTACTGGAAGTTGGCCGGGGTGAGTTTGATTTTAGTAGGCTAGTAAACTGAGGGTACTGGAACTTGGCCGGGGTGAGTTTGATTTTAGTAGGCTAGTAAACTGAGGGTACTGGAACTTGGCCGGGGTGAGTTTGATTTTAGTAGGCTAGTAAACTGAGGGTACTGGAACTTGGCCGGGGTGAGTTTGATTTTAGTAGGCTAGTAAACTGAGGGTACTGGAACTTGGCCGGGGTGAGTTTGATTTTAGTTGGCTAGTAAACTGAGGGTACTGTAACTTGGCCGGGGTGAGTTTGATTTTAGTTGGCTAGTAAACTGAGGGTACTGTAACTTGGCCGGGGTGAGTTTGATTTTAGTTGGCTAGTAAACTGAGGGTACTGGAACTTGGCCGGGGTGAGTTTGATTTTAGTTGGCTAGTAAACTGAGGGTACTGGAACTTGGCCGGGGTGAGTTTGATTTTAGTAGGCTAGTAAACTGAGGGTACTGGAACTTGGCCGGGGTGAGTTTGATTTTAGTAGGCTAGTAAACTGAGGGTACTGGAACTTGGCCGGGGTGAGTTTGATTTTAGTAGGCTAGTAAACTGAGGGTACTGGAACTTGGCCGGGGTGAGTTTGATTTTAGTAGGCTAGTAAACTGAGGGTACTGGAACTTGGCCGGGGTGAGTTTGATTTTAGTAGGCTAGTAAACTGAGGGTACTGGAACTTGGCCGGGGTGAGTTTGATTTTAGTTGGCTAGTAAACTGAGGGTACTGGAACTTGGCCGGGGTGAGTTTGATTTTAGTTGGCTAGTAAACTGAGGTTACTGGAACTTGGTTAAGAAATCATTGTTAGGGTCGTCTCGTTTAGTCGTAACTAGGTATAACTGCACTCAAGTTGTTCTGAAAAATACTCGGTTTTAATTGATGGCTCCAGTTTAGTGTTCTTTAGGGGTTGTTTAAAGTTCTGGATTGTTCCTTGAGATTGTGGGAGAAGCTTTTTCAGCTTTGGCCTCGAATCAACGCTATTGTTTTCGTAAATTGCAGATTTGCAGATTTACGTGATTTACACGATTATCCAATACTTGTCTTGCACGTTTTTCAAACCTTGCTGCTATATTTGTTAAACTTCACCCGATTGATTAACTAACTTATTAACTAATCGATACGTAATCACCAGGGAGATTCATTAGTGGAAGGGTTGACCAAGTCCCGAGTTACCATAAGTAAGCTGGTCGCAGGAGAGTACGTGTTCCTAGTGACCGTGCTGGGGATACACAACGAATATCACACCAAGGTACTTATTTACAACTACTAGATTAATTGATTTGAAAATAGCACAACAGAATTTGAGTAGATCCATGGCCTTATGAGCTGGAATTCCCAATCAACTGGAGGGTTGAATTTTTCTCAAGTTGACATAGATTCGGGGTCTTCTTAAGTGGTATAAATTTAAACTTTTATTTTATAAACTCAATTTGAGTCTTGTGCATGTAACATGCAGTACAAGCAGTACATACAGTACAAGCAGTACACGCAGTACAAGCAGTACAAGCAGTACAAGCAGTACACACAGTACATGCAGTACATGCAGTACATGTAGTGCACGCTTATAACTGGTTAACTGGTAGTATTTGCTGTACATAGTCCTTTCCTGTTGACTAAAGCCTCAGACGTAATGTTTTGTGCTCAATTGTTGGTGGTTCCATGTGAATATGTTACATATTGTATAATATAGTGTATACATTGAACAATGTGTCTACTTTACATGTACACTCTGAACAGTAACAATGCGTATACACGACATTATCATTTTATACATGAAGAAGCTGTGTACAGTACTGGTATTGAATAACAACTAGACTATAATAAGTTAGACTGGAGTAATTAAAAAGATTATCTCATAAAAAAATATTAGAATTGACATGAATTATTGAGTAACATATTTTATTTTAAAATCCCACAGCCTATTATAATGTCAGATACGTGTAAATTCGCCTATAACGTCTATTTAAAGTTTAAAGTCATTAAATAATTATTAGTGTTAGACAACATTGAAGTGGGCGCGTTTTATATAACAGCTTCACTCTGCAGATCATCAAACATGGTGAATAATGACTCATGAATATTTAATATGCACTTATTAGTCATTATATTAATGTAATAATGTGTAAAGTATTGTGTTTGGTACAGTGTTATAATCACGACCGTCCAAGTATCAATACCATCATTCAGCTAAAAGATTCTGATCTATCTTTAAAACTAAGTTAATTAATTAAGTATAAATATTATATACTAAGTATAAATGCTCTGATAACGAACATTATGTAAGTTCAGTAAACAGGTGTGGGACAACAATTCATATCATCAGGACACACTTCATAATTTGTAATACTTGCAACACTACTATTATATAACAAATAATTCGAAGAGGTTCTCTAAAGATGATAATTTACTCGAAGAGCCTAAACTGTGTATGATTAGCCTCTCCAAACAAATCTTAAGACACACTTTATAATTATAATTGCAACTAAGGAATGTTCCTAACTCTTCTGTTATTAGCCTATCTAAATATCATGATCTTATATATAATATATACCGTATCAGTACCCTTCATAATATAGTCCTCCTCCTCTGAACACCTGTTATCTCACAGTCAGTACGTGTTTTACAGTGTTTCAGTGGGTAGCAGTCTCAGCAGCTGTTGTTTAGCAGAGTTCTAGTGTTTAATATTCATTTAGCTGGCTGAATCTGAGTATAAACCAGGAAAAAAGCAGGTACATTTCTTTTGTGGTTATTAAATAAACTAATAAAGAAAGAAGTGTTTGAGGAGACTGTGAAAATGTGTGTTTTCCTTTCGTTATACCATGTATACATTCATCAGTTGAAATGTTAAGCCTAGTTTTAGTAGATAGGTGTAAATTCCTCAGACACATACATTTATTATATCGTGTGTGGGTACTACCAGCATTAGTACTAGTTACTAGTTACTAGTTACTAGTTACTAGTTACTAGTTACTAGTAACTAGTAACTAGTAACTAGTAACTCATATAATGATAGAAAACAAGTGTTTTACTATAGAACTACAAAAATGGGACTATTAAATTAACAGATAGTTACTAGTAACTAGTTACTAGTTACTAATTACTACTGGGACTATTAAATTAACAAATATGCTGATACATTTTGGAGAAGTGTCTGTTGACAGTTTAATATTTTTCCTTCGTTAAACTATGAGTAAGATTCGTAGTATATTGATATCATGAACAATATCTATATTGTATATAATCAAGATTTGTACATTTTGTAATAAATGATATATCCCAGTGGCCAGTAGTCAATACAAATGTATTCCAAATGTAAATCCTTGTAGTACGTTTGGAACATCGTGCATATTCTTGATATATCTCAAGAGTTAGGGTGTTTCCTAGATATCTGACGTTGCAACTCTACTACTCAGGATTCAGTTTACCGCAAACTAAAGCTCACATTTTCAGGTTGTGAAATTAAAGGTGTTACCTACAGTAACGGAAACTAAAGCTCACATTTTCAGGTTGTGAAATTAAAGGTGTTGCCTACAGTAACGGAGAATAAAGCCCCCGTTGCCGTGATTAAACCTGCCGGGAAAGTATCTTTTAAACTTCCTGCCGAGTTCTCCCTCAACGGTATTGATAGTCACGATGATGATAAGGTACCAGTTATTGCACTGTTTTACTTTAAAATAAGATTTTCTATAAAGTTCTACGATGATTTTAAAGGTTTTATTCTAACCTTGTTATTTGCATTGGAGATGTTAACTTTGAAGTCGTGCTGAAGAGTACATAATATGTATATTATTTTAACAATAATTGTAACTCTTGAAGAGTACATAATATGTATATTATTTTAACAATAATTGTAACTCTTGAGTCGACGCTTGCGACTACGAGTCACTAAACCTCATTTTCATGTGTACATGACTACCATCAATAATAGACATATAATGCATAATTCAATGCGTACCAGTTACAATTATTGCTAAAATCAATCTTAAGATTCTAAACTCATTTATCTTGAGGCGACTTGTTTATTTTAAACGTTAGCTCTATTATTACACATGCGATACCATCATGTTAATACTGATAGTGTTGTTGTATAATAATAGTGAATAATGGTACATGATGTCTGCCTCATCAGTCAATGGTCGAAATAACACGTACTTACATAATACTATAATATTACAATACCAATGAGGGTTATTTTACATTTTGGTATAGGTACGCCCATATCTGTTTATAAAGAGAATTTTATAACAAGTATCTTCCAATTATAGGGGTAAATATAAGTATTGCTAGGGTTAGACACAAATAAAAGGCAGAGCTAAACATTATTAACTAGCATAATCTCAATCTAGCAGAATATTTGTTTCCATAACATGCTAAAGTAAGATGTACCTTTTCAGTCCGGAAACTGGTAAAACCGGTTCAAGTCTTTCAGTGCTTATCTCTGTTGATTGTAACGTGCAGCTACAGTGGTTTGTGTATCACCGTGTTACACGACCATGACCATCCCGCCCAGCGAGTATGGTGAAAAGGAGATCAACATGTTAAGGGGTGACTCAGTTGAACTTCTCAGCAAGGCTTTGAACGAGATGGAGATCACAGCAATAAGGCAACTATCCCCTTCGTGCGTGAAGAAGATGAACAAGGGTACTGCGTGTGACTTGTTGTACGATGCATTAAAATATTTGGAGGAGTTCACTGGTGTCGTATCCACGGACTACAAGATGGCCTCCAACTCAGTTAAACATCAGATGTTCGAGACACAGGAGACCATCATTAAGCTGCAGTCAGAACTTCTAGCCTGCAAAAATGAACAGTTGGAATCGTTGCAGACGTCAGTTAAATCGTCAGTCGGAGAGTCTGTCAAGGCTGAATTCCAATCCTTCAGCTCGGTATTACAGGCGAATTGTCCAGAATCTCAGAAGCCAGTCAGTTCTGAAATGATCAAGAGAGCTGTGAAAACTGTGGTACAGGAGGAAGACCGAAACAAAAATCTGATGATTTTTGGTTTATCGGAGCAGGACAATGAGGAGCTCAGCACCGTGGTCAGTGAAGTGTTCTCAGCAATCGGAGAGAAACCCAGAATCGAAGCTAGTAGAGTCGGAAAGCTCAAACCTGGCAAGGCTGTGAGACCAGTTAAAGTGACTGCGACAAGTGCAACAATTGTTAATCAGATTCTTGCTAAATCGAGAAACCTGCGAGCAACGGAAAAGTTTAAAACTGTTTTTATCAGCCCAGATCGATCTCCAGAACAGAGAGCCAAGCAAAGAGAACTCGTCAGGGACATGAAACGACTGGTAACTGAGCAGCCTGATAAGCTACACTTTATCAGAAACGGTGCTATAAAGAGTACTGATAAGACTAATAAGACTGCAGAATGAGCTTGTGTGTTTTTAATTATTGATTATTTTTAGTGTATTCAAGTTTTTTTTTGTGTGGAGGATGTTTTAACTCACTCTTGTGTGCCCAGTCTTGCACTGTCAGTATTTCTCGACACTTTGAGCACACAAAACTGTCAGTTTTCGCGACAATTGTCAGATTTCGTTTTCAGTTCTGTCAATTTCAAATTCGCTACTAGCTCTACTACTAGTAGTCTACTTCAGCTCACATTAAAGGGAGTTTTCGTCGTGCGTGTAGCGCCCTTCAAGTTTAACTTGGACGGATAGGATTTATAAAACTTCTGATTATAATATTTATACTATATTGTATTTTGTATTTATGTATTTTAGTAAATGGTCATTAGAACCACCGGCACCGTCCGGGCCCAAACAAACAAACAAGTCTCATGGCAAATTAGGGCTAAATTATGAGACATGAGGTCATGTTTATAATTATAACCAATCAGCTCTTAAATAAAAGCATTAAACATCTCACTAACAGCCCCACCCCTCCCCAACTCTGATATTAAATGAAATCCTCACAATAAACCCATTGCAGATAGTGTCCTACGCCTGGACCATAGAGGCTAGACCAGTAGCAAGCAGTGAGAATTTCGTCAAGCTTATCGGTAATTAACATATTTCTCATAATCTTTCATCGTGCTTTTAGAAAAGTATTATTCGCAACAATTATACTGTTTGCGCAATTTTGCAGGCTACATTATACTGACTGAGGTATTACCTTTAGTAAATTTTACGATCATCTGATTACGATAATGTACATAATTGTTATTTGTTAAATTGGTTTTTGTTTTTTGCGTTATATGATCACACTATAAAGTTCCTATTTATTATCGTGAACTCTATTTCGCCTATCAATAATGCTGAGAACGTATAGTGCGTTATAAGTAATATAATTGACTTGTTTATTTATAATTTGATATGAAGTTACGCCGGCTTACATCTGAGCTCTCCCGTAAGTTAAGCGCTAAAATAGAGTCTAAATATTATTTCGACGAAATAAGGTCTACTTGTTATCTTAGTCGGAAGGCGCGATAATATATTTTGTTAGATACAATGCGTCACATGCTGCGCGTTCTGCGCGCGCATTTCTTATTTATTTCATATTAACTTGTCATGTTGCGTTGATCTGATCGGTACTTATTGTTCATCGCGGCATGCGAATAGGTTTTGCTCTACGGTTGAGAAACTCGGACACTGGAAAAGGCCTAACAGAAATATTCTGGACGGGGCATACAAAATTTAATCAGGCATCCTGAGATGCTAGCACGTAATCTCGTCTTGTGGGAACATGTGAATGGTAGAGCTAGAAGAGGATGTGGAAGTAACCGTCTTCGGACGATGCTAAACTTACAGATTTTGCAAATAGTCACTAGAGCGTCAACTGTCAAGATGTTAACAGTCGTCACTAAAATAGTCACTAGAGCATGAGCAGTCACTTGAGGTATATTAACAGTTAAAACGTAACGTTTCAGGTGAAACTACGGATACGTTACACGTAAAAGTCTCACAAGGAGAAGGGGAATTCAAGTTCAAACTCGAGGTAAGAGTTAAAGGGGGGAGGGGGGGGGGGGTTCATCCTGATTTTTAGGTAAGAGTTAACAAGGGTTAACCGATATAAAACTAAATATATTTACAGTCGCCGTTTTAATTATAGCCCCACCACTTCCTGAACCTAAACTTAACCCCTGCGTTACTAATAGTAGTTACTATGGTTACTAAAAACTAAAATAAACACAGGTGAAAGATAAATCTGGTTTAACTGGTTCGGCCTCTAAATCAGTGCTCATTTTGGCTGAGGACGATTTCCCTCCCAGGTAAAACTACAAACCTAGCACTGTGCCAGTGGCACTGACACTTCACTTTAGGAATATTCTATCTACATTTTTATGTCAAGTTGCTTGTAAGAAAAGTATTACATATTTTACAACTACTGCCATTATAATATGTAGCATGCATATTAATTCCGTCAATGCATATCAACATTGTCAATGCCACGTACTTTTATCCGTACTTTCTTATCTTGATACTCTCTCACTATCAGTGCTAAAGTTTCCTCTGCTCTGGTTCTTACTCTACCTAAGAATTCCGCTGTTCTGTATGGCAACGGCAGCAAAGATGACCACGAAATAACAAAGTAAGTTATTTTGGGTTCCGGCCAAAGTAAGGAACCACTGAACAACACCTGAACACCACCTGAACACCACCTGAACAACACCTGAACACCACCTGAACAACACCTGAACAACACTGAACAACACCTGAACACCACTGAACAACACCTGAACAACACCTGAACAACACCTGAACACCACCTGAACACCACCTGAACAACACCTGAACAACACCTGAACAACACCTGAACAACACCTGAACAACACCTGAACAACACCTGAACAACACCTGAACAACACCTGAACAACACCTGAACACCACCTGAACAACACCTGAACAACACCTGAACAACACCTGAACAACACCTGAACAACACCTGAACAACACTGAAAAACACCTGAACAACACCTGAACAACACCTGAACAACACCTGAACAACACCTGAACAACACCTGAACAACACCTGAACACCACTGAAAAACACCTGAACACCACCTGAACACCACCTGAACAACACCTGAACACCACTGAAAAACACCTGAACACCACCTGAACACCACCTGAACAACACCTGAACACCACTGAAAAACACCTGAACACCACCTGAACACCACCTGAACAACACCTGAACACCACTGAAAAACACCTGAACACCACCTGAACACCACCTGAACAACACCTGAACACCACTGAAAAACACCTGAACACCACCTGAACACCACCTGAACAACACCTGAACACCACTGAAAAACACCTGAACACCACCTGAACACCACCTGAACAACACCTGAACACCACTGAAAAACACCTGAACACCACTGAACAACACCTGAACAACACCTGAACACCACCTGAACAACACCTGAACACCACTGAAAAACACCTGAACACCACCTGAACACCACCTGAACAACACCTGAACACCACTGAAAAACACCTGAACACCACTGAACAACACCTGAACAACACCTGAACACCACCTGAACAACACCTGAACACCACCTGAACACCACCTGAACAACACCTGAACACCACCTGAACAACACCTGAACACCACTGAAAAACACCTGAACACCACCTGAACACCACCTGAACAACACCTGAACACCACTGAATAACACCTGAACACCACTGAAAAACACCTGAACAACACCTGAACACCACCTGAACAACACCTGAACACCACTGAAAAACACCTGAACACCACCTGAACACCACCTGAACAACACCTGAACAACACCTGAACAACACCTGAACAACACCTGAACACCACTGAAAAACACCTGAACACCACCTGAACACCACCTGAACAACACCTGAACAACACCTGAACAACACCTGAACAACACCTGAACAACACCTGAACAACACCTGAACAACACCTGAACAACACCTGAACAACACCTGAACACCACTGAATAACACCTGAACACCACTGAACAACACCTGAACACCACTGAACACCACCTGAACAACACCTGAACAACACCTGAACAACACCTGAACACCACTGAACAACACCTGAACACCACTGAACACCACCTGAACAACACCTGAACAACACCTGAACAACACCTGAACAACACCTGAACAACACCTGAACACCACTGAAAAACACCTGAACACCACTGAACACCACCTGAACAACACCTGAACAACACCTGAACACCACTGAACAACACCTGAACACCACTGAACACCACCTGAACAACACCTGAACAACACCTGAACAACACCTGAACAACACCTGAACAACACCTGAACACCACTGAACAACACCTGAACACCACTGAACACCACCTGAACAACACCTGAACAACACCTGAACAACACCTGAACAACACCTGAACAACACCTGAACACCACCTGAACACCACCTGAACAACACCTGAACACCACTGAAAAACACCTGAACACCACCTGAACACCACCTGAACAACACCTGAACACCACTGAACAACACCTGAACAACACCTGAACACCACCTGAACAACACCTGAACACCACTGAAAAACACCTGAACACCACCTGAACAACACCTGAACACCACTGAAAAACACCTGAACACCACTGAACAACACCTGAACAACACCTGAACACCACCTGAACAACACCTGAACACCACCTGAACACCACCTGAACAACACCTGAACACCACCTGAACAACACCTGAACACCACTGAAAAACACCTGAACACCACCTGAACACCACCTGAACAACACCTGAACACCACTGAATAACACCTGAACACCACTGAAAAACACCTGAACACCACCTGAACAACACCTGAACAACACCTGAACAACACCTGAACAACACCTGAACACCACTGAATAACACCTGAACACCACTGAACAACACCTGAACACCACTGAACAACACCTGAACAACACCTGAACAACACCTGAACAACACCTGAACACCACCTGAACAACACCTGAACAACACCTGAACAACACCTGAACAACACCTGAACAACACCTGAACACCACCTGAACAACACCTGAACAACACCTGAACACCACCTGAACAACACCTGAACACCACTGAAAAACACCTGAACAACACTGAACAACACCTGAACACCACTGAACAACACCTGAACAACACCTGAACAACACCTGAACAACACCTGAACACCACCTGAACAACACCTGAACAACACCTGAACAACACCTGAACAACACCTGAACAACACCTGAATAACACCTGAACACCACCTGAACACCACTGAACACCACTGAACAACACCTGAACACCACTGAACAACACCTGAACACCACTGAACAACACCTGAACACCACCTGAACAACACCTGAACAACACCTGAACAACACCTGAACACCACCTGAACAACACCTGAACACCACCTGAACAACACCTGAACAACACCTGAACACCACCTGAACAACACTGAACAACACCTGAACACCACTGAACAACACCTGAACAACACCTAAACAACACCTGAACAACACCTGAACACCACCTGAACAACACCTGAACAACACCTGAACAACACCTGAACAACACCTGAACAACACCTGAATAACACCTGAACACCACCTGAACACCACTGAACACCACTGAACAACACCTGAACACCACTGAACAACACCTGAACACCACCTGAACAACACCTGAACAACACCTGAACACCACTGAACAACACCTGAACAACACCTGAACAACACCTGAACAACACCTGAACAACACCTGAACAACACCTGAATAACACCTGAACACCACCTGAACACCACTGAACACCACTGAACAACACCTGAACACCACTGAACAACACCTGAACACCACCTGAACAACACCTGAACAACACCTGAACACCACTGAACAACACCTGAACAACACCTGAACACCACCTGAACAACACCTGAACAACACCTGAACAACACCTGAACAACACCTGAACAACACCTGAACAACACCTGAACAACACCTGAACACCACCTGAACAACACCTGAACAACACCTGAACAACACCTGAACACCACTGAACAACACCTGAACAACACCTGAACAACACCTGAACAACACCTGAACACCACCTGAACAACACCTGAACAACACCTGAACACCACCTGAACAACACCTGAACAACACCTGAACACCACTGAACAACACCTCCTTTTCAACTTACAACCCATATTTCCAAACCATAATGCAATGATTTTGTAATAGAATACCCTTCATGGCCTCAGAATTAATATTTCATGATGGAGCCACAATTAAAGTAATGCTATTATTACCTTGAATATAATTAGCATTCTGTAGAATCTATAGATTCTTGACCATTTTCTGCCCTCCAAAGTTATACTTAATACAGACCTAGAGTTTTATGTCAACGTTATACATCGACGGATTGATGATTAGATTTGTGTTAGAAACTTTAACCTGTCCCGGCATTTAATATTACATTTATTATACGGCAACCCAGTGATGACTTTAATAGAGCCGGTTTCTACGGACTTGAAGGCAACAGGTGGTCAGTGCTATTCTTAATTTACACCAGAGAGTGCTCCCACTTTACGAGTTTATAGTTTACATACGTTGGCCATTACTGCTTTCCGTTTTCCAGTTTTTGTAAAGTTTTTGCTCAAAGTTCAGTTCTTTGCATCGTCTGTTACTATGTAATTGCGTATAATTATAATATTATGTGCATATTGCATATAATATTATCTTGATACTTCTCTTTCTTGCTCTAAACACGTAACACCCTCCTAAGATGGGAGTGGCAGAAGTCGTCAGACAGCCCGAAAACGGGAGATATGACCGGCACTACGATCTCCAACCTAACCCTGGCAAACCTGGTGGAAGGAACTTATACCTTCACGCTCACAGTATACGATAAGAAGAATCAGAAGGGGGTTGCAAGCACAACCGTTACTGTCAGACCTGCTGAAAAGGGACCTCCTAAAGCTGACGCTGGTAGGTTTAGTGTTTATTACTTTTAGGATGTTTATAGGTGAATGTGATATACATTATTGTCTCAAATTATTATGTTTCATGAAAAGTGTGACCAGGTGACAGCAAGTCACCATGACAACGTTACCATGTCTACCACCAGGTGACAACAAGGAGCTAGTAGCACCAGACAGGAGCACCGAGCTGGACGGTGCTCCTGTCTGGTCACCATGACAACGTCACCATGACAACATAATATCACCAGGTGACAATAAGGAGCTAGTAGCACCAGACAGGAGCACCGAGCTGGACGGTGCTCCTGTCTGGTCACCATGACAACGTCACCATGACAACGTAATATCACCAGGTGACAACAAGGAGCTAGTAGCACCAGACAGGAGCACCGAGCTGGACGGTGCTCCTGTCTGGTCACCATGACAACGTCACCATGACAACGTAATATCACCAGGTGACAATAAGGAGCTAGTAGCACCAGACCGGAGCACCGAGCTGGACGGTGCTCCTGTCTGGTCACCATGACAACGTAATATCACCAGGTGACAACAAGGAGCTAGTAGCACCAGACAGGAGCACCGAGCTGGACGGTGCTCCTGTCTGGTCACCATGACAACGTCACCATGACAACGTAATATCACCAGGTGACAATAAGGAGCTAGTAGCACCAGACAGGAGCACCGAGCTGGACGGATCTAAAAGCATCTCACCTCTTGGTATACTACACTACCACTGGGAACAGATATCAGGGGGCAAGGGAATCACGCTGCAGAATGAGAACTCCACTAAGTTGCTGGT